TGCACCGGAAAATCGAGCCCAAGACAGGCCTCCCAGGGTCCTCCAAAGGTCTTCTTAATGGGGCTTAATAGGGTTGGACTGTAGGAGCTAGAGGTGTTAAGGGGTCTGCAAAGTTGGCCCTCCAGGCAACCCCAAATCCTAAACCCTAAATCCTACATGCTACACCCTAGATCATAAACCGTAAATCCTAAATGCTACACCCTAAACCCTAAATGCTAACATCCTAAAACCACAAACTAATAACACAGCCCCATAAATAACTATGTATACATTTTTACAAATATGTATAGCTAGAGGGTTTAGGGTCTAGGGTCTGTCACAGAGAGAGAGAGAGAGAGAGAGAGAGCGAGAGAGAGAGAGAGAGAGAGAGAGGGGGTGGGGGGCGCAGCTGTCGTTGTGGTCATCTGTTTTGCGAAGATAGCGCAAAGCTGTCAAACAACGCCGTCTGTGCTCTGATCTACGCGATCCTTGAAAGCAAGCTCGCACCGTACCGGGCAATAGCATGGAGCGCAACAAGCTACACTCTTGTGCAGCTAGGGCTCGTTCATATGGCATAATTTCCAAAATTTGTCGTGGCCTCCAATCATGTCATGTGTGGGCAGGATGGTAACCAAGCAAGGGTTTAGTGTTTAGGGTTCAGGGCTCAGGGTTAGATACATCATCAGCTTGGGCACGCTGACAGATCATGCCCCAAGAAGGCCCGCATCAAGATCGATCCTGAAAGAACTGTTCATGTCTACCCTTGCGTTTACAATCTTCAATAAGAATCTGGACTAGTTTATTGTGTATGCCCTCAGTGTACCCCACCCAGTCCTCCGTAGCATGCTTGCCTTAAGCTGCATCATTGTTGCCCATGGAACAGTTGGCAATGTCCTGAGGAGGCTATTAATATTGCGCTGTAAGGGGCCTGGCCCACTTGATTAATTTTGGAAGGCAAGTTAACCAAGGTTTCGGATTGCTAGGTCGAGGGTTCTGAAGGTAAAGGGCAGCGGGCTTTGGGATTTGAACCTCATTTCTGTAGCCTAGATTCTTCCGCGTTCTTGCCTGCGCAGAGAAGCGCCTTTTTCCAAGCACTGGCCCACCCTCCCATCTTCCGGACCGACACGCAGGACCCGCCCTTCTTGTTCACGGGCAATCCACCTTCTGGCCTGCTCACATTCACGTACAACTGCTTGTCATACCAAAGGATGCCGATCCCAGCCACAGTGTAAGACTTCCGGTCTCCCTGGAATCCAGGCGGGATAGGGATGCCAATAGCCTTGAACTCGGCTTCCTTAGAAGTGTAGCTTGGAGATTAACCTCAAAGCTGTAGATGATTGGCCAAGTGAAGGCATAGAGCGCACTAGCGTTGTAACTTCGAAGGCTTCCAATACAAGGGCACTAGCGCAAGCAAATCCAAGCAAATAACTGTCTGCCGCCACCCACCGGCTGCGGGGGCCGGTGCGGGGATCTCAGGCTCCACGGCTGCAGACGGCGCAGCGGCTGTCGTTGCTTTGCTGGCCTTCTTCCCCTTGCCGGCAGGCTTGTCCTTGATGACACCTGCTTGCTTCTCGGGCTTTTTCAGCTTCTGGCAGGCCGACTGCTGCTTTGCAGCAGAGGTCACCTTACTTTCAGAAAGATACTCAGACACTGCGCATGTCCATACGATGCTCTGACTAAAGCGTTTTCGCATCTTATGGGTTACGAGAAGCTTTGCGCTGCGCTGCAACCAGATCATGGTCATCTTGGGCAGCCTGGTTCTCCAGCTGCCTTGCCTGAGCCTCGGCTTGCATCAGCAAGTCATTCGGCATCTCGTGGGGCTTCAGGTGCACAGGAGGGCGGCGCTCCTGCACGTATAGAGGCATGTTACTATCTCGCGGGGCTGGGCTACACTTGCAGTCGGTCTAGTCCTGCTCAGCTTGCCTACGTTCTTGAGGCAGCTGCTGTGTCTTTATCGCGGGGATCTCAGGGATTACGATCTCCAAGATATTCATGGGCTGGGTCTCCAAAGTTGAAGGGTCCACGGGAACCTGGGGCAGAACGAAAAAAGTACGCTGGATTCAACAGCAGCACTTTGCAGCTAGAGCACAGCGCTAGTAGGTCCTGGCCCAACAGGACAGGGCGGTAAAGACTCAGGGGACGCCGGAAACGGCATCTGGGAATCTTCAGCAACATCGATCGCGAGGTCATCCTCCAGCGCTAGCTTTGGTCAGATTCGTGTAAGTACAGCCCATCAATGAACAATGTTTGTCCCAGCTGCTTGTAAATAATTTCAATTGTATATTCGGCCTAACGTAGGTATTATGGGCAAACTTGGAACAACTACTTACTTGTCATGGTCTATTTGGGAACCAAACTTTTCAAATAGGAGCCCTGGAACATGTGGTATGATTATGGGCATGAATCCTTCGATAAAGATAGGAACTCTCGAAGCGAGAAACCACGACGAGCACTCCGACCCGAGAGGCCTGACTTTTGTATCCCGAAGGTTCAATATCTTTGCAGCGTAGCTTGAAACCCTAATTTATAATTCCTAGTGGGCCTGAACGCCGAAACATTACCCTGGGGCTCCAAATAGCCCAATGTATGTACTATTTATAGACATTGGGGCCCAATGTAGCTATAGGTTTTATTGTAAAGGTGGAGACCCAGGGTTATAAATTACAACTGCCTGCCGAGGCTGCGTCGCTGGTGGCTCCTGAGAGTCACACGCGAGGGAGCCAACATAGAACTAGTCTGAGAAGTTATATAGGGCAGAACATCTGTTGTAAAATGGGCTTTGCGGCTGGGATTTCACGTGTTCTGGGGGATGTCTTTAGTATTTTTCCGCTACTATAAACTCAACGCTGTATAACCCCTTACGAACTTTTAGCATTATTAGCCAAGTGCGCGCCATACTAGTTTGAAACATATCGGGGGCCTCAAGCCCATCAGATCCATCTGGCGACCAGATCGTAGAGCTGGACGGGGTAACCTCAAACGCTAGTAGCTGAAGGTATAACATGATTAGTTGCGGGCCACTACATACACTACTACGCTACACTTGCAAAACCCCAGGGCCACGATAAAGGACACGAGGCTTTGTTGGGTGGGTTGAAATCTCCAAGGTTTAAGTGCTGACCAGCGGCCACTTCATGGGAATCCTCTGCAGCAGCAGTACGGTCGATGATGGCGTCCAAGTCAGTGTCAGGGTTTTGGCCTCACATATCGAGTTTATCCCTAGAATGCCCTAAACTGAAAGGAGTCCGCAAGATCAATGCAGTGCCTTCATCTTGCATAGCTGACCTGATGATGTGCTTGAGCAGCTGCACCTTCTGATTCCTGCTCGTCTGGTGTAGCAGTTATAGAGACACAAAATCAATGTTTCAAATGAGGCCTAAGACTGCCCACTGCAGCGCCTGGAAGTTTTGGATCGACGCGTCAAAAGAAGCCCGTGGACTGCACCAGTCCGCATCACACCTCCTTCTGCGCCAGCCCACTCCTTAAGCGTGCGTGCAGCTAACACGTACATGTGTTGTTTCAGCTACACTTCGGCCGAGCATCCTTGATTTGCTTGGCCTTGCAAGACCCCAGGATATTGTATCGTTTCACGAGGTCAATAATGACTTCCTGCAAGGATTCAGGCGCAATATGCACACGCCAGTTAGGGTTAAGGGTTTGGGGTTTAGGGGTGGACACGTACATGCGCTATAGATAGCTATGGCCCTATATAAACCCTAAACCCTTATCAGAATTGATGGCCCGGTGTACTGAGAGAACTGGGACTTCAGCGCCGAATGTAGCGTAGTACTCCGCATAGAAGAGGTAGTTGGTTTGGATCTACAGGGGGACGGCGGGGATGTGTAGGTCACTGCGCTTGACTATGACAGCACACATACACTCTGGATTCGGGATCATAAAGCTGACAGGTCTCACCATCTCCACAGAATCACATCCCGCTTTCACGGAGCACAGGATTGTTTTCGCCTGTTGGGTGGGCAAAAATTAGGACAGTAGGGTAATTGCTGACAATCGTAACCTGATCAACTTGCAAGGGCCTTTCGCACACGTGGGAGGCGATCCGCATCTTTGGTTAGCCAGTTCACCAGCAGATCCTGATCCAAACAGAAGTGACACTGGAAACTACGCGAGGTTCTGGGTGGCCTCAAGGAGGATCTTGTGCATCTGCCTTTCTGCCGCCTAACATGACTCAAGACAAGTCAAGCGCCAACCGAAGCACGGGCAGCCTTGTCCACAACCATGTTGTGGCCAGAAAGGTGCACGCAGCTACGGATGAGAGCTTGAAAAGCCAGCTGGTCAATCAAGCAAACATCAATGAAAACACATCCAAACTTGAGCAACCGAAATGAAATCAGTTCGTACGCACAAAAGCTGCAGGAATTGGGAAGGGCCACGGCACCCTTGCAAGTCCACGCGGGATCCTCATTGTCCACATTGATCTCCCCCCTTAGCGGGGGTGATCTAGATCTCAGCCGGCTCTCCTCTGCCAGGTCCTGCTGGAAGAAACCTAGGCGTTTGGGGCTCAAAAAATGATGAGAAGCTTGCGAAAGCTAGGGTTCAGGCTCCGTATTGAGCCTCGATACATCTCCGCCGGCTCTCATCTGCCAGATCCTCCTGGAAGGACCTAGGCGTTTGACCCCAGAGGTGGCTCCAGAATGATGAGAAGGTTGCGAAAGCTAGGGTTCGGGCTCTGTGTTGAGCCTCGATACATCTCAGCCGACTCTCCTCTGCCAGGTCCTGCTGGAAGAAACCTAGGCGTTTGACCCAGCAGGGGCTCAAAAAATGAAGAGAAGGTTGCGAAAGCTAGGGTTCAGGCTCCGTATTGAGCCTTGATACACAGCCGGGTCCAGTCCATCGGAGGGCGCAAGTGAAAGCGGCTCTGGTCGACTGTTTAGGGGTTAGGGTTTAGGGTTTAGGGTTTAGGGGTTTAGGGTTTAGGGAAAGTGGGAAGCAACCGTTGTGGCATCTGGAATTGTAGACATGTTTACTGTCACATGACTTGAATTTGGGCTGACAGCAAACACGCAATGGAGCATTTATATGTCATCACCCGTGAAGAAAAAACATACCTTGTCCAACTCTGCATTCCAAACTCTCAGGTCGGAAGCAAACATGTGCAAGAGCTGAACGCTCCATCCCCCAACCAAGCAGAGCCCCCATAGTGACAATCCCGCGTCAACATCGCAGGCCGAACTTATAGAATTTCGAGGAATTTGCGGGGTCCTCCGATAATGTAGGCGTATTCGGCCTACATTGCAATGTGTGCGAATTTGGGCAACATTCAAACGTGGGCGGTTTTTGAAGACAAGGAGCCCCTGGGTTTTGCTAATGTCACCTCTTGCAGCGGCAGAAAACTTGCCGAACAAAGATGCAGGGCGTGGGGGCGACATAACATCCTCTGGTGCTGGCAAGTTCTTTGGCGGTGAGGTGGCTTTTTCAAAAGCACGAGGATCCTGCGCATCTTCAACATTATCATCGTACGAAAAAGCAGAGCTGGTCTTCGCAAGCTTCACTGCAGGTGGTGGGGGTAGAGCTAGTGTGCCAGCTGGGGCTGGTTTGGGCTTCGGTTCGGGCTCTGTATAGGGGGTGGGGCCACTGCAGCATCTTCAGAAGCACCTATCACCACTGAAAGCTTTGAGCGTGAGCGTTTCTTACAAATCTTCTTCCTGGGCTTTGCAGGCTCTTCGGATGCTGCTGGCTCATGCGTTTCTCCTTCGGCCTCAGGAGGCTGGAGAGTTTCCAACCCCGCCCCAGTAGCAGTATACTCCATCGTTGCCCTTTTTTGCAACTCCTCTAAGAGCTTTTTTGCCTCCTGCGCGGAAGCAATGCATTAAGAATAGCTTAAGGGCAATCAATTAGTGTCAATAGTATAAATAGAATGCATGTAAGGCAATCCTGAAGCTCTTCAGCTAACGTCTTTGGTTCTTCCTTGACCGCTTTCGACTTCTTCTTCCCCATGTAAGATGCACCCCGGTAAAGGGTTTCTGCACTGTGCAAGCTCGCCAGCTTGCGCCGCGGCATGATGCCAGGGCCACTACAAAACCTATGCTTGAGCGAACATAGGAGTAGAATTAATTCATTCAGCAAGTGTCATGATTTGCGGATTCATGGTCCAAAATGGAATAAGCTGAAAAGTTGGTACGCTTTTTTACGCCACTGTTACGCATCTTTACGTCACTGATACGCTGTTTTACGCCACTGGCATTTTTGCCAAATCTCGCAAAATCGTGCCTCAACTGCTGAAAAGTCTGTCTGGGTAGCACTGAATTGATCAAGGGTGGAGAGCAGTTGCATGTTTCTACATTGTTTTAGGCAATGCCTACAAAGACCAATCAGATGGCACATCACAATGTTTGTTCGTGGCGAGATAACTGATGACGGCAGGAAGCTCAGCATCCGCTCAATCATCTTTGACAAGCTGGCGCGCCAAGTCGCTGGCATTCAGAGGCCCTGGAACCTGGCTTTTGGAATAGGGGATATATATATATATAACAGGGCTGAATTACACTCGTAGTACACGCCCAAGGTCCCAAAGCATTGGTTCTATAGATGTTGATGAGTAATGATTGTATATGGGGAAATGAAGTATTCATGATTCTACAAGATGAATACTTGGAGTGTTAA